ACAATTCTCTATATCACAATTAGGGAATTGCAAATTAAGTAACAAGGTATCTCTACACACCTGTTTGAATAGTCAAAATCCAAAACATTGACAAGATCAATGTTGCTGAAATGCAACAAATGGTACAGCCACTTTGGCAGTTTCTTATAAAACTTAAATATACAGTCGGGTGTGGCGGTGCATGCGTGTAATCCCAGCACTCGGGAGACTCAGGCAGGAGGATCACTGTGAGTTCGAGATCAGCCTGGGCTACATAGTGAGTTCTAGGTCAGTCTCAACTACATAGTGAGACCCTGTCTCAAAAAAAAAAAAAATCAATAAAAAGAACCCCAAAAACTTAAATATACAATCTAGCAATCATGCTCCTTATATTTATTCAAATAAACTGAAACATGGATGCTGACAGAAGCCTTATTCATAACTGTCAAAATCTGAGAAACAAGATGTACTTCAATAAACAGTGTACAACCAGGCAATGGAATATCATTCTCTAAAAAGAAACAGGCTATCACATGAGGGAATCTTAAATGTATATGACTGAAAGAAGCCAATCTAAATAAGACTGTACCTTATGATTACAACAATTAGACATCCTGGAAAAGGGAAAACTACACAGACAGTAAAAAGATCATTGGTGGTTAGGGGGACAGGGAAATAAGAATGAACAGGAAAAGCAGAGAAGATTTTTAGGAGAGCAAAATTCTAAGGTATCCTACTACAATAGAGGATGCCTGTCATTCTACATTTGTCAAAACCCACAGAATCAAAAGTAAACCTAAGAAAATTATATGTTTCGGTAATAATGGTATGTCAATATAGTTTCAAAACAAATATCCCACTCTGGTGCAGAGTACTGAAGAGAGTGTCAGGGATAGGGAATATGTGGGATAGGAGGTATATGGGAAATCTTTATCTTCTGTTCAACATTGCTATAAGCCTGAAACTGCTCTAAAATATAAAATCTACTTTAAAAAACAAATTAATCTATCATGTTAAATGAATAAGGGAGAAAATCCATATATGATTATTTCAATAGATGCAGAAAAATCATGACAAAATTTAGCATTAATGATTAAATTTTAAAAGTCTCAATAAACTAGTAGCAGAGCATAATTTCTTCAATCAGATAAAGAACATCTACCAAAATATCTGTAAATGGGCTGGGGATTTGGCTCAGTGGTTCTGGCACCTGCCTCGCAAGCAGAAGGACCCAAGTTTGATACCTAGTACCAAAAAAAAAAAAAAAAAAAAAACAAATAAAAATTAATTTGTGTAAGGTAAAATTATCCCAGCACAAAAAAAAAAAAAAAAAAAAAGACAAAATATATGTAATTAGTGTCATGCGTAACAGTGAAATTCTAATTGTCCATAAGCTCAGGAGTAAGGTAACACATCCACCCTTTTAAGAGAACAAGCTAGTGTGCCAAATCAAGACCAAAAAAATGGAAGGTATGAAGTCAAGTATCTTTCTCAAATAATATAAATGTTTACACAGAAAAAGTAGCAAGCAAGACTATTTAAAAATAATAAAAAATAATAAACATACAAAGACCTCAGGAAATAAATTCAGATACAAAAATCAGTTGTATCCACATATTGTCAATAATTATTTGAATATAAAAAGTGTTTAATGTCATTTACCACCATGTCAAAAATTTACATACTTAGACGTAAATTTAACAAGATATGAACAAAACCTACACACTAAAACTAAAAGGCATCATTGAGTAAAATTAAATGAGACCTTAACAAAAACAAATAAATACCTTGCTCAAGGCTATCTAGTATACAACACTGTTAAGATGTCAGCAGTCCCAAGATTTATCTATAAGCTCAATGCAAACTCAATTATGGTATTGTGACTACTAGGCCAGCACTCTACCTCTGAGGTACAAAGTAAAGTATATGAATGTGAAAGAGCATGTGAATGTGAAGAGCAAGAGGAAATACATAGATAAATCTAAATGAATAGGTGCAGTGTAATCATATCTTTAGGGACTTCAAACATGCTGAACTGAACGCAAATCACAATGATGATCTTAACAAAATGTAAAAATTGAATAAATGAGAATTGGAAACATACAGATTTGCGAAGAATACATATGGCAATCTCTAGGGATTACACATAATACATTCCATTAACTGGAGACTGGATAAAGAAGATGTGAGTTTTTTTAATAAAATGGACTACTACTCAGTCATAAAGAATGAGAAACTAAGAGATATTTATAGCTAAGTGAACGCACATTGAGGCCATACTCCTTAAGTGAAATTAATAAGTCAGTCACATGTGTAAATATCAAATAGTTTCTCTGGTATGAAAAACTAAAAGTGTAAATAAGGATCAAAATGTATAACTGATATTGTGTAATAGGAAAAAAAGGTCTGAAAGAGTAGAGGAAGTGTGAGGGGTAGGGGAAAGGTAAAAAGGGAAAAAAAAAGATATGTAAAAAGGAAAAACAGACGCAATGCCTTTGTAAATAGGGAAGGGTGGAAGGGTGGAGGGAGGGCTGGGTAATGGGGGGAAAATGGGAGCCAAGATTAAGCCTTGGAAAGTTACAAGATCCCAATGATGAATGTAACTGTATTGTATACCTAAATTGTACCAATAAACTTAATAAAGACCAAAAAAAGTTAATCACCAGGAAGATAAAAAATTTAGAGTTAACATATCACCAAAATTGAAACAATAAAAAGAAACAAACCCTCTCTCAGGAAATGACAAGTGAAGGAAGCATAAGGAAAGTGGAAAAATGAATGATTATTGAACTTGGCCTAATTGATATTTATAGTCACAGCAAATTTCAAAGGATTACAATCACCCAGTGTACATGCACTGACCACTTTGATATTATAACTCAATGACAGAAATATATAACTAGGAAATCCTCCAAATGTTTACAATCTCAGCTACTGGGGGCCAAGGCAGGAAGATTCTAAGTTTGAAGGCAACTTAGGTAACTTAGCAAGAGCCTACCTCAAAATAAAATAAAGTATGAGCCAAGGATATTCTATACCAAAGGGAAAAGTAAAACAAGAGAAACTTCTAAACTCAAAAACCAAAACAAAGCACACTGAAAATGTAAAGCCACATCAGAAATCACACTACATTTGGAGCAAAACAGTAATGAAAATATGACACATCAAAATGTGCCAGCTATAACCAAAACTCCTAAAGGAAAACAAAGCTTAGAGCTTTAAATTAATTTTTTTTTTCTTTTTGCATTACTGGGGGTTGAATCAGGGCCTTCCAACTGAGCTGCATCATCAGTTAGCTAATCTATCTACTTACCTATCTACCTACCTACTTACTTATCTATATTTTGATACAGAATCTTGCTAAATTGTCCAAGCTGGGCTAGAACTTGCAATCCTCCTGCCACAGCCTCTCAGAATGCTGGGATTGCAGTCCTGTACCACGATGACCTTTAATTCACTTTTCAGAAGTCAGGCTAGAAATCAATGTTTTAAGTATTTATTTCAATAAGGTTAGAAAAAAGAATAGCAAGTTAAAACCCAAGAGAAAAAAATGGAAATATTTAAAAGTAAAAATTAATGAAACAAAACTAATCTACAACAGTAAAACTAGAAAGGCTGAAAGTTAATTCACTGAAATAAAAATAATATTGATAACCCCCTAGCAAGACAAATTAATGGTTGCTTGAGTCAACAAATAATCAATATAGTAATGTCTTAAAAATTAGATATGGACAAACAACAAAACTAACATATAAACAGAAAATCAAAGTGACCTAATTTCCTTTATTTATTTATTTATTTATTTATTTATTTATTTATTTATTTATTAAGACTTTCTCACTAAACCCCTCCAGGCCAAGAAAGCTTCACCAGTGAAATCTTACCAGCATAAAAGGAAAAAGCAATGACAATCTTCACAACTTCTAGAAACACTAAAAGAGGGAATACTCCCCTCTTCTTATGAGACCAGCACAACTAAGATACCAAAACCTGATCCTACTCCTGTAGGAAATTACAAGCCAATTTCTCTGAAGAAATAAGTTTAAAGATCCTTAAAACAACAACAACATAAAAAATAGCACACCAAATCCATTAATGCATAAAAAAGGAGAATACCTAATAACTGCACCAGGATTATTTTAGGAATCCAAGGTTAAACATTTGAAAACAAATCAGTATAATCAACACATTAACCAAGTGTCTTAAAAGATGCAGATAAAGCAGTTTATTAAAATTCAACACAATTCATCATTTAAAAACTATAAGTAACAATCACTAGGCATGAAGTCAATAAATAAAATTCAATTACTTGTAATTATGTTTTCAATAATTAGAAAACAACATTTAACAAACCACTCTAATTATAATAACATCAAGAATAGCACATATCTAGGAACAAACCTGAAAGATATGGAAATCTTCATATTGAATGAAAACTATAAAACATTAAGAGAAATTTATAGACCCTTTAAAAGTGAAAGAATATACCACGTCCATGGATTAGTTGCTTCAATATTAAGATTTCAATCATCTGCAAAGTGATCTTTAATTTCAATACAATCTTAATCCAAATTTCAGGAGAGAGAGAAGAGGGGAGAAGGAAGAGGGGAGAAGGGAAAGGGGAGGGAGAGAGACTGTTTAGAAACTGAAAGATTAATTCTAAAACATAATGGGAGAAGTCAGAAGTGGAAAGAAGTAACAGTTCATACAATACCAGACATCAAGGCTTCTTTTTAACTAGAGTAATTTAAGACAGTATGGTACAAAGACCAAAGGAACAAAACAAAATCCTAAAAATTATTCATATTTATAATAACATATGAAGTACACATGAAAACATAAAACATTTAAGAAAACAATTCCATACAGAGAATCTTTCACTCAAAACTTTAGGGAATTTTCTGATCAACCATAACAATTAGAACCACAAATAAATACTTTGGCTAACTTCTTTCACAATTATGATTCTATAAAACACCTTCTAAAACAGTTAGACATCCTATAAAATCTTAATCTCTTACCTCCCCAAAAGCTCCTCGACCAATCACCTTTAATATTTCAAAGTCTTCTCTATGCAATCGCATTTGTTTCACTTTAGAAGTAAATGGTTTAGCTGAAATAAAAGAGCAACATCAATTACTTTCTTAATAAAATGTGATACCAGTTAGAAACGCAACAGATATGGAGTATTAATTCTAATTTGAATTTTTATTAAGATCTAAGCCAAAGTATTTTAAAATCTCATCAAACTACATGAGAATAAACTGATTTAACTTCCAAAAAAAACACAATATATTTTCAGTATTTCTTATATATGAATTACATTTTTGGTGAGAAATATATTTTCAAACACCAGATAAAATAGGAAATAATGCAAAGCAGCAAGTACTGTATGTAGAAATGACACATTTAATTTCATGTTAAACATTCTATGTATTCTAAATATCAATCTAGACATATATTTTAACACAAAGGTCCAAGAAATTTAGAAGTAGATTTCAGCTGGGGATTTAGCTCAGTGGTGCCACTGCCTGCCACGCAAAAGTAAAGTCCCAAGTTGGATCCCCAGTACCAAAACAAAAAAGTAGATTTCATGGCACCAGAGAGATCTTCCGCAATTCCTGTCAGGTAAATTAATATTTCTTTCACGCTTATTCATTAAATTTATTTATTTTTCTAGTAACAGGCCTATGAAAGGGTGTGCACTATACAAAACACGATGACAATGACTGAGTTAGAAAAAAAAGATGATTACAATATGGTACCTCCCTTCAAGAAGCTCTGTCTTAAAGTAAAACAGACAAGTTAAGTAAGAGCCCCCCACACACACAATCTAGCAATTTGATAAGATTTCTAACAGAGATAATATAAAGTACTGCAGTAGCAAGGAGAAAGGAACACTATGTGAACACTAAGTGAACATAAACTCCCTAGAAAAAAGATTAATGGATGAACACTACCTTGACAACTAAGTAGAATTTTGCTCAGCTGTCTGGGTTTGACACTATAGACATTCCAGGCAGAAGAAATAACATAAGTAAGTGGAGAGATGCAAAGAAGTGAATTTGGTGTGACAATGGCAAATATTCCATTGGTATAGTCCTTAGCTATATCCCCAGCCCTTTTTTAAGACAGGATCTTCTTAAATTGCCCAGGCTTGCCTCAAACTTTGAGATCCTCCTGCCTTAGCTTCCCAGAATGTAAGATTACAGACATATGCTAACATGCCTAGTCCCACTTTGGCTTATTCTACTCAACATGATTGATACTAGAAGATCTAACCAAAGCTAATGGGAGGTGCTCCAAGTTAAAAATTCAAGTTAAAATTCCTGTTTGCATACATGATTTTTATTTTATGAAAAAAATGAAAAAAGTCATAATCAAATAATCTTAAATGTAGAAATTCCTAAATAATATACAAAATATTTCAGAGTAAGTTAATAAATTCAGCAAAACCACAAGATAATTATCACATAAAATAAATTGCATTTTATATTTTCCTAAATGATCTCAAATAGTCAAGTTTATAGAGACAGAAAACAGGTTACTTCTTGCCAAGGAGTAAAGGAGCGGGGTAATGTGGTATGACTACTAATGGGTATGGAATTTCCTTGAAGTATGATAAAAATGTTCTAAAATTGAGCTGTGGTGATGGTGGCATAACTGTGAATATGCTGAAAACATTAAATTGTATACTTTAAATGGTTAAATTACATGGGATGCAAATTACATCTCAGTAAAGCACTTTTAAAATTATTTCTATGTACTTCAAATGAACACTCAAAAAGGATAGTTTTTAAATATTCCATCTGCAATAGCATCCAAAACAAGTACTCAGGAATACATTTATCAAAGGAGATAAAAGACTTGTATATTGAAAATAACAAAATATTGCTTTAAAAATTAAAGAAGACCTGAATAAAGGAAAGACATCTCATATCATGGGTTAGAAGATTTAATAGTATTAAGATGACAATGTTACCCAAAGCAATCTACAGATTCAACAAAATCATTGCAATGGCATTTTTAACAGAAATAGAAAAACTCAGCTAAAATTCATATGGAATCTCAACACCTTCTGAATAGCCACATCAATCTTGTAAAAGAAGAACAAAGTTGGAGGTCTCACATTCATAATCTTACAACTTACTACAAAGTTACAATCATCAAAACATGTTACTAGCATAAAGAAATGTATACCAATGGAATTAAAGAATCCACAAATACACCCTCATACATTAGATCAATTGGTTTTAACAAGAGTGCTGGGAACAATGAGGAAAGGATAATAAACAGATAATTCTGGGAAAACAAGGTATCTACAAGTATAAGAATGAACTTGGGGCCAGGTGTTTAGCTCTATGGTGCCGCCACCTGCCTTGCATCCCCAATACCAAAAAAAAAGAATAAACTTGTATCCTCACTTTACACCATACACAAAAATTCATTTGAAATACATCAAAGACCTAAATTTAAAGCTACAAAACTCTTAGAAGAAAACATGGAGAAGGGGTGGGGATTTAGCTCAGTGGTGCCATCACTTGCATCACAAGTGCAAGGTCCTGAATTTGAACCCAATCTCAGGTACAAGAAAAAGAAAACCTGGGGGAAATCTGTATGACAATGGATATGACAATGACAATGACATCTGGGTATGACACAGGAAAAAAGCAAAAGAAAAATTGTTATATATCCAATATAATTAATTTTAAAAATAAACGGCTTCATAAAAATTAAAACTTTTATTTATCAAAAGATAAAGGCAAGGGACAGGGATGTACACAGCGACACCACACCTGCCTGATAAATGCAAGGTCCTGAGTTTGATTCCCAGTACTGGGGAAAGAAAAAGAAAGGAAAAATTCACAAGAATGGGAAAAATATTTGCAAATCTTATACTGAATAAGGGATTAATATCAGAACACATAAAGAATACCTACAACTCAAAAACAAACACAATTCAAATTGGGCAAAGGTTTGAAAAAATAGTTCTTCAACATACATATACCAATGGTCAGTAAGTCAATAAAAAGTTGCTCAACATCACTAATCATCAGCAAAATGCAATCCAAAACCAAAGGAAATACCACACCCTCTAAGACTGCTATATGTTTTAATTTAATAAAAGAAAATAAAAACAAAACATAACAAGTGTTGGCAAGGATGTGAAGTTGGAACATTTGTACACTGTTGGTGTGAATGAAAAATGATATAGCAGCTTTGCAAAATGGTTTGGCAGGTTCTCAAAAAGTTAAACACAAATTTACCATATGACCTAGCAAGTCCATTCCTGTATACTCAAAATAATTTTTAAAAAGGATTCAAACAAATACTTATTCATCAATACTTTACAGTATTCATTACTGTAAGGCTGATTACACTAATGATTACTGTAATACTGGTTACTGTAGTGAGTAGTCGTTACAGTATTCAAACAACCCAAATGTCTATCAACAGATGCATGGATATACAAAATGTGGAATACACATACAATAGTATATTATGAACTTTCAAGTGAAATGAATGTCTGCTAAATCTTATCATATTAAAGAATAAGGGAAATATGCCAAGATAATCTAGCCCAAAAAACTCAAATTCTATATGATTTAAAGTACATGAGATATCCAGGATATAGAAAGAAAGTAGGTAAGAGATTACCAGGGGTTGAGAGGCAGGAGAAATAAGAAATTACTGCTGAATAGTTACAGAATTTCTCTTTGTTATTATGACAAACTTTGGGAAATAGTGATAGTGATTGTACAACATCATGAAGCAATTTAATGCCAATGAATTGTGCACTTACAAAAGTTAAAATGACAAAAATTCCCTAGTTATGTATATCTAAAATGTACCAATAAATTTAATTAAAACAATTCATAAGATATCAAAACCAATGAATTGTACATTTCAAATGGGTGAACTGTTTATTATGCAAACCAAATGTCACTAAAGCTGCTTTGAAAGAAAACAAAAATAAGAATTTGGAAAAACTACACACCACTTTGACAAAGTAAGTTGACAAACACAGGTTATTAGATCTGAAAATAGGAGCCTAACTATAACTCAAAATCATAAACTCAATCTCTTAAACTTAAAATGACTAATATTGTAAGAAAGGGGATTGTTATGGCTATACTTCAGTGGCAAAGCACATCGTTAGCAAGTTTTAAAGGTGTTATGTTCAATCCCCAGCATGAAACAACAGACTGATGGGGGGGTAAAATAAGACTTCAAAATATGAAAAATACTGTCAGTAAAATGTAATGATATACTAACATACATATGAAATAATGACTTAAGTTGCCAATTTACTACTCTATATTACTTTTGACTACCTTATTTTATAAAGTTAATTCTCAAAGAACAACTAAAAACAGGGGGAAAGAAGGATCATGGGCCCCTTTAAGAGTATGGAGTAAGACTATGAACCCCTCTCAAGGAAAAGCATATTTGCCTCCAAATGTTATATATCATATAAAGATTATTGGCTACTTCACCAACTTAGACTAAGAAATCACTTTCTAGGGCTGAAAGTGTATAGCTCATGGTAGAACACTTGCATGCATAAGGCTCTCTATTATGGTCTGAATAAAAAATACCCCTAAAAGGCGCATGTTCAGAACTAAGACAAACAAAAACTTCGTAAGTAATATCCAACAGAAAAGACATCTCTTTAAAAAAAAATCCTCATGAATTTAGGAGAGTGACCTATTTTGTTCACTTCCATAAACACTGTTACTATACAAGTACTTTTAAATAAATAAATATACTGTATTATGTGCCAGGCAGGCTAATGATAAGTTATTTTTCCAACAATTATTTTTCCCTTCTTCCTCATTAACAGACCCCAGATTTGGAGGTAAAGTGTGGTAATTCGTTTTGTCCATACTAGCCATAGAAATCTCTCTCTTTTCCACTATTTGGCCACGCGTATGTGTGAATTTTGCTATGTCTCATTTTGAATAATAATATGATATAAAGGCTCTGAGGGCTCCTAGGAAGAACTTCTGACCTAATGAATAAGGAGAACAGGAGAAAGCCCTTTCCCAAACTCTCCACCCAAGATATTACTATGATGTACTCTTTTATGAGCCAGGTATCTTGCAACCACAC